CCTGGTGTGAGTCGTTCGGGCCCTTCTTCCTGGTGTGAGTCGTTCGGGCTCTTCGTGGTGTGAGTCGTTCGGGCTCTTCGTCCTGGTGTGAGTCGTTCGGGCTTCTCGTGGTGTGAGTTGTTCGGGCCCCTCATCCTTGTGTGAGTCGTTCGGGCCCCTCCTCCTGGTGTGACTCGTTCGGGCTCCTCGTGGTGTGAGTCGTTCGGGGCCCGCGTCGTGGTGTGAGTCGTTCGGGCTCCTCGTGGTGTGAGTCGTTCGGGCGCCTCGTCCTGGTGTGAGTCGTTCGGGCCCCTCCTTGTTGTGTGAGTCGTTCGGGCTCTTCGTGGTGTGAGTCGTTCGGGCCCCTCGTCCTGGTGTGAGTCGTTCGGGCTCCTCGTGGGGCCTCTTGGGGGCCTCTTGGAGCCTCTTGGGGCCTCTTGGGGGCCTCTTGGGGGCCTCTTGGGGGCCTCTTGGGGGCCTCTTGGGGCCTCTTGGGGCCTCTGGGGGCCTCTTGGGGGCCTCTTGGGGGCCTCGTGGGGCCTCTTGGGGGCCTCTTCGGGGCCTCTTGGAGGCCTCTTGGGAGCCTCCTGGGGGCCTCTTGGGGCCATCTTGGGGCTTCTTGCGGCCTCCTCAGAAGCGCAAATGAGCGCTGCCCCCTTGAGAAGGACAAAATGAGCCCAAAACCTTTTTGTAAAATAAATGATTTTGCTATGAAGGAAAAGGAACGCTGCCCCCTCAGAAGGCCAAAATGGGGCCAACACCGTAGTAAAATCAATGATTTCGGCTTCAAAGAAGAGGAGAGGGTTTTTTCTCTCCCCCCCCCCGTCGGGGCCAGAATCCTCGTGAGGGTCGTCGTTTTTTAGCCCTCCCAGGTGTCGAATTTGACCCCCCTGACGACCCGCGGGGCGCCCTCTCCAGGCCCAGGGGGAGGGGGTAGGGGGAGGGGTAAACCCCTCCCCGAAGGGGAAGAAGGGGGGTTGAGGACAGAGGGGGCTCTCTAAACCACTCACGCCCAAAAGGCTGGTGGGATTAATCTTTGTGTTGCCCTCCCAGGGCCTCCTGGGCGCCTTTTTTTCGACCTCTTGGGGGTATCCTGAGGCAAATGCTTTAACCGCACTTGCTCGAGGCATTCTGACCTGCCGCCCGCCCAGCTCCTCAACCCGACGGGCCGCAGCGTCGACGACAAGAAAGTCCATGTTGACGAACAGCGTCCCCGCGCGATGTGCGCCGCGTCCCATTCCCGCTGCGCGATTCGCAGCGCCGACGAGGAGAAAGCACATGTTGTCAAGGAAAACGTCGACGTCGCGGTGTTTTTTGACAGGTAGGACGTGGGGTCCCGCGTGGGGTTGGCCAGGCGTCCGCGCGCGACGTGCGTTGCGCCCCATTCCTGCTTCACTTTTCGCAGCGTCGACGACGAGAAAATCCATGTCGACGAGAAAAACGTTGATCTTGCATGGTTTTGGGATGGGTAGGGCGCGACCGCCCGCTTAGGGTTACCCGAGCGATGTTCGTTCCGTCATTTCCGTGTTGCATTTTTCGCAACTCGACGACATGTTGGCGAGAAAAAAGTTGAGCTTGTGTTGCGTTTTGAGTTAGGACGGTAGGGTTGCTATCGGCCGGCAAGGTGGGGATGTAGGGGTGTTCAGTCATAGGAAGTAAGGATGCGGGGCGGGGCGGGGCGGGCGCCAGCGGCGCGCTCGCCTCAACCCGTTCACCAGAAAACCTCGGCACCTGGCCTGCCTGCGTGCCGCCCCCCAAAAAAAACATCCCATCCCTCGTGCATTCGCCCGTCTGAAACCTCGCCCACTTAAAGGCTAGAGACCGCTCGAGGGCCCCAAACTTCGAGGACAGTGGCTCCCTAGATTCCTCCAAGACATCCGCGGCCTCGGAAGGAGGGGCCTCGAGGGGGCCATCGACGCGCGCGCCGCCAGAGGACCCGGCCCCGCAGGAAGGCTGCGGAGACCCCCCCCCCGCAGGGAACCCCCGAGCCCTCGGGGCCCGCAACGCTGGGCGAAGTACCCTCGAGGCCCCGGATGCCCGCCGCCTCGGCAGCGCGACGCGCGCGGAGCCCGAGGGCCCTCGCACCTCGGGCGGTCAAGGCGCAAGCCTTACAGCGGTCGCAGGCGAACTTGTTTCCGTCCTCCTCATGCGATGCGGATGCTCCGCGGGGGCCCGCGGCGGCGGTGGCGCCGCCGCCGCTGGGTCTCCAATGGCTGACCTCCGCGGGGCTGCGCCAGCGCCGCGAGCGCCCCGTGCGCGGCGCAGTTCGGCGTCGCGCTTCCGCGGGGGCGTGGCGCGGTCCGCGGGCACGTCGTTTTGGAACTGCAGCTTCGACGCATTGCCGATCCAAGTCGCCGCCTGCCTCGTCCCGAGCAGCGCGCTGGAGTGGCGCTCGACCGCTGGCTTCGTCGCGTCGTGAAGCCTGCGTCCTCTCTTGGCGGCCTGGCCAGCCAAGCCGCTGCAACGCTTCTCCCAGCAGTCGCCGCTCCGATGCCCCTTGACGCGCTTGAAGACGATGGGGGCTTCACCCCCCGAACGACTGGCACCTCCATGGCCATCGATGCGGTGGAGTAGCTGCTTTCATAGATCCACGGTCTCACGACGAGCTCCGGCGCGCCGCCGACGACCCTCGCCCAGCCCGTCGATCAGCGGCTGGTAGTCTGTGTGGATCTGAAGTGGAGCAACTCCAACAGTCGACGCCTGAAGAGTGGCGCGCAGCTCTGCCCTGCCAAATGTCTGGCGCGGGCCTGGCAGCGGCCCGAAAGCAGTTCCGAAGCATCGAGAGTCTCCGACCACCACAAAGCCCCATTCAGATGTGGAAACCGCCTCCCATCGGAGAAGCTTCGCGCAACATCCAATCACGACAGCACCTGTGGCAACTCATGGATCATCAAGTGGCCTCCCTCGAGCAGCTCTGTCATGGCGCCGCCGTCCCGAGTCATCCCGTGGTGGCAATGCGTTTAGCGCAGAGTTCGGGAATAAAGCTCTCGAGTAGAACAAATCTCCAGGCATTGTGGCTCTGCTTATACCCAAGACCCCAAAATCCACGGCGTGCTCCCGGAATTCCATCGGCGACGGGCAGTGCCAATGCCGATGATACATGGTCCCAATAACATCATCACGCAAAAGACAATGATGGGGGAGGTGGCATAGGCGCACTGATATAGCCGTTGCCGCGAGATGTGCCCCCCCCCCCCCCCCCCCCCCACCCACCCCCCCCCCCCCCCCCCCCCCCCCCCCCCCCCCCCCCCCCAATCGAGCGAACGGCCGCCTTGACCGCGGGGTCCAAGCGCCAACGCTTCACCTTCTGGTCAGCACGTAGTAGACCCTGAATAGGCGCCAACCAGCAACCCGCGGAATCCTTGCGACTGGGCCCTGGCATCTCAGGCATGACCTCTCGCCGTTTAACTCGCATTAGCCATCCCAAGGCCTCGAAATCCTGTGGGGCAAGCCGGCGAACAACCGATGGCGCCATGTCGCGAAGATCCAGGAGCTCGCCAGACTTGGTACGAACCGCAAACGGAGACGAGCAGGTCCACTCCCGTGCAAGCAGCGACCGTGCAAAAGCTCCTGCTGGTCCAGTGACTAGCCCCCAGTGATCCGCCTGCTGTTCTGCAGCAGTGACTCGATGCTGCGCGCGCCGCGCCTTCTGCATATCCTGATGATCAACGTCGCTAGCGTGCGCCATCACTGCACAGTGGTGGATGGGCCCAACCGCCGAGACACAAGCTGGCTGAGAACCAGGCGATCGAGCCAACCGCGATGCGATCCAGTGCGAGGCCCCAGCAGGTGTAGCGTCCCATCCCATCTCGACTTGTCTGGTCATGCGCAGAATTTCGTGTTGCGCAGCTCCCAGAATGCCCAATCCGTAAGTGATGGCAGGACCAATGGCAGCCCGCGCCGCTTTTCGATACTTGGTGCTGCCCAAGTCCAGAAATCGCTGGAAGTGTCGGACGCGCTTAGACGCGGCCTTCACCCTGCGGCGTAAGACCCTAGACGGCATTGTCTTTCCCGCGCCCACCTCGGGCCCAAGAACCTCAGGCCAGGAAAGGGCGCGGAACCCGAACCTCCGGGGGGCGGCGCGGTCGTGAGACGCCGCCAGCGTAGCCTTGGACTTGGCCACTGGAAGTCCCAAGTCCTGTAGGGAACATCATAGTATACCAATGATGTCAGCAGCCTGCCCTTCCAG